TTCCCAGGGGCGGGGTTTATCTGGGTTTGTGATGTCACAAACCCGGCAAGTAACTCCTTGTAGTCCCTACCAGCCATTTTTGTAGGCATTAAACCGCCAGAATTTTAAAAGACGATATCGACGTTTGCATTGAACTTTTAGCTTCGTAACTTTGCAGATATTGTTTATGCTCAAACAGCAACATTACACACTAACTAACGTTAAAAAAGTGAAATCACAATCAACCACCCCTTTAAGTACTGTAACGAAGTATTATTACTTCGTTACATTACACCACTGCTCATGAACTTTTGATTTGTTCATGTTTTTTTTTTCAAAAAGCTATAATTTGGCTTTAAAAAGAAATGAAATATAGTGCAAAGTGCATGATACATATGGACCACTTTTGATGATACTTTTATGTATTTTATGTTTTTACAGCTTGAAAACACCAGTCCCAAAAAGAGCATAAAAACTAATTTTCTCCCTTTGTGTTCATACAGCTTTAGAACAATATGAAGGTGAGAAAATGGTTTCAATTTTGGGTGAACTACTCTTTTAACACCTCCTATCATACAGTGCAGGGAAAATTCCTCATATTGAGCAGTGGGGTTTCTGCAGACACTGACCTGCAGTGTTTTCTTATGCCAGGGAGCTGGGGGATGTAAGGGCCAAGCAGAAGCAAGGCTCTTTGGAGCATCTCTTATGTGGTAGTCGATATGAAGACAAAAACGACGGTCGACGGATGATTTGTGCTAGTGTGTTGAGCAGAGATAGACTGTGAAAAAGCTCAGGGGACAAAAGACTAGGTGGCAGATAAAGCCCCCAGGGGGTGATTTGTGGCTCATTTGGTGGGTTAAGTGAATAAAGATGCACTGGGCCATACACATCAGGCTCAAACTAGGAATGGGGTAAAACAAACAATGGCCTGTACAGGGTGGAATAAAGATAGATTGAAAACATAATATTGAGCACTATGATTGCTCCTCATGCGGACCACTCCAAAGCCTGTTGTGTTTGTTTTCATGGCAGGAATGGATTGTAATTCAAGCATAATCTGGATTAACTGGCTCATCTCGATCAATGTTGTATAGATGGATGAAAAAACCCAAAAACAAAAACTATAGATGCTGAAAGCTTCACCTACATTTAGCAGATTTGCCATAGCACTGGCCTAAAATTGCTTTAATGCTAAACGGTGTCAACAGGAGGGTGGAGGAGGCAATACAAGCAGGATTGTGTAGGTGTATCCGTAAAGAAGATGATGGCACTGCTAGAGATGAGGGCTCCATCTCGGGGCATGATGGATAGCAGGGATATGAATGCTGTCATTGAGAAAATCAGATATGAAAGAGAAGCATCAGGGACGCAAAGTGGGCCTTGGCAGAAAGGCTACAGAAAGATCCCATTACCAGCCACTCAGTGGGGTCAGCAACTCAAAGTGCTCTAAATGGGACTTTAGGTTGCTGTCTCACACGCTGTAAAAGATCACTCCCCAAAAGCTAGACAATTCATACAACGCAAGCCATTCTGAGAAACAGCCTAGCTGCAGATTCATCGGTGCGCTGGACAGCTCTTTTCTCCGCGTTCTCCTTCCTTGGCTTCGACTTCCTTTCATATCGGTATAATAGCTCTCGGAAAGTTGAGTCACAGGAAGAAGGTTTTATGAATCAAGGCTTTGTGAGGTTTCATAAATCTCTCCAATACCAACCTATGAGAAAGCAAACATCTCTCTTTGACAGTTCTTTCAGTGACTATGAACTTCCCTTTGGCTACTTGTGCTCCACAGTCCTTTTTTAACCTGTGAGACACTCATCTAGCACAGAAATTGCTAATGACTTTAGCATCGACCTAAAATTAGCAAAGCAATTACTTTCATTCAGGGACTTTCGTAATGGCAGGGGAAATGTACTCTTCATGAAAAATGGTCACTTGATAACATTTCATAGCCACTTTGAGCCTTGTTAGAATCTGCAATCACATTGTGTAGCAGGACAATGAAAGTGAACGGGTTACACACTATATCTGTCATGCTAAACAAAATCCTTCTCTTGCAGAGTTAGAGATCAGCTTTCCCATAGAGAAAATAGCATATGCAAATGCTTTCTGTTTTTCATGAGAGTGTGGCATTGTAGGGTGACAGCAATTTCAGCACTTAGAGCGAGAGGTATAATTAACTACTTAAGCGATACCCGGTTCTGAGAAAACGGCAGAGAACTCTCAGCCCTGGAGGCTAAGAGACTCACCTGATGCTAGAGAGGCAGGAAACTTCTAAAACTAAGACTGGAAAGCAAGTAAACAACAAGTAAATTATGTTCTCTCATCTTTGCTTTGCTGTATCATGAAGCATTTTGTTTGTGAAGGGCTTTGTTTTGTTCATGCTAGTAGGAATGGAAATAACTCAATAACTTTGTTTATCCAAACCACATTCATTTTTCCATGTATTCCATGATATTAAAAAGATTCCCTCATATTTTCCTTCGAAGAAAACATACAGTGACAAAAATACATACTTGGGTCAGATAAGATGGAGTCTGTCTTCGGGACAAACTGGTCACAACGAAGTCCACGGTAACCCTCTTTACACCTGCAAAGGAAGAAGATATATTATATGTTCATTGTATGGAGGAAAAAAACATTTCAAAGTATCTTTTTTATGTAGTGTGATAAATGATGACAGAATTTTCATTTTGGGGTGATCTAACTCTTTAAACAGTCCTGTGGTGTGACAAATACGTTTTTAAGAGTCCAAATATCCTATGCAATCTCTCAACTAATATAAGTCATAAAAACAGCATTATCTAATTAGTAGAAAATGTTTAAAATAGTTCTAGAAGGAGCATGTCACACTGCAGGGCACCCCTGTCGCTGCTTGACATGTCATGCCAACCCATTTAGAATACAGATGTGGCATTTATAATACCGCGTCCACGTGTCCATCCATCATGTCATTTTCACAGAGAGATTGACTTAGCATTAGAAATCAGAATATCCAGAAATGTTATAAATTAGCCCCATGCAGAAAAGGACGAGGAAGTAAAAGAGGGAGGGGTGATGGGGACAAGAAAGAAGAAGAAAAATAGGGATAACAGGGCGGGTCTGTCCAGAGCTCAGTGGTGCCTGCACTCGCACAGATAACACAGTCTTGACATTTATGTCACATCCCCACTGAGCTATGGGGCCGTATGGAAAAAGACGAAGGCATTTGACTAGACTCTTACTGTGAGATCTATGTGAAACAGGGGACTTCTTCCAAAAGTACATACTTGGGTCAGATAAGATGGAGTCTGTCTTCGGGACAAACTGGTCACAACGAAGTCCACGGTAACCCTCTTTACACCTGCAAAGGAAGAAGAACATTTCAGTACAGAAATATAAATGATCTGGGTGTCATCAATATTTTAGGTTAGAGGATGTTCTTATTTTATTAGACAAATTTAAAGACATTTGTAACATATATATATATATATATATATATATTAACGCACCGTAACACACACAATATCTTTTTTAAAGTTGTGAAACTGATGACCAGTTGATTTCGACAAGAAAAAATATGTATCTTGAACTTATAAAGCAATTATACATATTGGCAAATGTGATAAAATTTGTTTCGGTGATTACATTTTCCTCGTTTTTTTTTTTTTTTTTTTAAGTCTTGCCCCAACAACTGTAGTTTTCCCATGCACAAATACATATACGACACACTTCAGATGCTGCAAACACAGACTCATTTCCATTTACCAGCAGCATTGCGCCTTTTATTCAGCACGTTTACCAGAAAATTGCCCAATTCTGAGATCTGCCTCTGTGATCACTTCTCTCCTGTGCAACGCTAACATAATTTTGACGAGGCATACCATGATAATGACGCTTCACAAAAGGAAACAACAAGCATACAGGCTGAGAAGCATCAAATAAACCCTTAGCAGAATGATCTTGATGTTGTTTCATCTGGCTTCATCTGCAATGTGTGTGTGACAGCTGCCTAGATTCAGTCCTGTCTGTGTGTCTGGCTTGGAGAAGCGGGACTGAGGTTTGCTAAAAGAAACAGGGAAGAGTCTGTAAAATGACTGCAAAGAGGGAAAAACATGGTTAGACTATGATTACAGTCACAGAAACAGGTGAGGAGCATGAAGTGCGGTCTCATCTCCTGCTCCCTTGTGCTCTGTTAGCTCACCATCTAGTTAACACCAACTCGTGTGTTGACGGCAGAATGATGGCCGTGACTGTCGGCAGCCTATTTGTTTGTTTCTCCCCTTTCTCCCATTTTTTGTTAGACGATAAAGTAGAGCTTTTAGGCATATGCCAAGAAAACAAACCGAGAAATTATTTCATGCATCATTGCTTACTTGGTATCGAAGGAAAGGAAAATCAATGTGTGCGCATGTGTTTATGACATTCGAGGTGCCTACAGAGTAAACAACATTGTAAACTAGAATTTCTGGATCTGCTTCATGGCTTTTCATTATCATTCAAGGACATGTTGCTTGGCATCAATGATCGTGCCCCCCGTTGGTTAAATTACAGCTACAGAGAAAAGGAGAGAAAGGATATATCTTCCCCGAAGGAAGCCAAGGCAATGAGCAGGACTCGCATTTGACTACCGCCCAGCTTGTTAATTAAAGCTGAAGTGTGTAATTTTTTCAATGTTAAAATACTCTCGTCCCAGCTTAATATGCAGAGACGACTAAAAGTAAGCCATTAGTGGGGCGATTTCCCTGAAAAGTGTAAACACTGTGTCTCTGTGGCCCTATCAAAACATTGCTCTGTTTGTTTGAGAATTCCGACCAGCCTCGCACAGCAACGGTGGCTTAGCCAATGGCATGAGTTAAGAGGCGGGGCACTCACTTTCCTGCCCAATAACAGATGGGCAGAGTTTCTTGAGGGAAACCTCTTTGAAAACAATCATTATTTTGCAGTAGCATTTGGTGATTCTGGTGGCGTAGAAAATACACTTCAGCTTTGAAAGTATGTGGATGTAAGTTGGAATAAACAGGTGAGCTTGTTTGTGCAGAAAAGTGTGTCTGCAAGTGGGATGTGCGTGGTGGTATTCTTTTCCTCCCTGTCAAACAGCTCCCACATAACAGACTGAGCTTGTGGCTTGCATGTGGGTGCTGCATATACTACCCACATTCACACACCCACATACTGTACAAACACACATTTACACAAAGATATTGTCATCCCTCCTCAAGATCCTGTGACAACTTTCCTCCATAAATAAGGTGCAATCTGATTCTGACATACTCTAGTATTATTGATGGATAGGGAGGCTAAAATAAGGCAAGTATTGGAAACAATCTCTGCTCAATTGTTCCTTACCCAGCATCCCTGTCAAAAAAAGTGCTGTTTAAGAAAAACCTGGCTTCTCTATTATCACACGGCCAATACATATTCATATGTATCTGTCTGGGTTTGCGGAATGGGAGGCGGAAAGTGGGCATTGCAACAGAATTTTATTTGTTGAATGACATTGACTGATGCCTGCTTCACCATTCACGATGTTTGTTTGCGAGACAGTCTCGCTTATCAAATTCAGTACACAAACAAGGCCCAGTTCCCTATCTCTTCAACAAGTGTTTTTTTTTTTCAAGTTTATGTCCCAGGGGTTGACGTCTATTCAAATTAACAGATTACAAGCTTTTTTACAAATTTTTTATGAAGACTGCATAAAAACAGTCTTATAAACATTTTACCATATCTTCATTATTTAATTTTGGTACTTTTCAAATGCCATTTATGTAGAACTTTTATTGTTTTACCCTTGTCCCAGACCCAGACTTGCAATATTAAACTCTGAAACTATGCATCATAAAAATGAATTATTTCATATTCAATTATGATAATCTAAGCAAATAATAAAATAAACATAAACCATATCCATTATTGTGTGAAAATCAATTATTCTAATATTTAAACAATGAATTCAAATACCACGACTCTTCTACAGTCGCATCATTTCCACCACTCAAAACATTGAGAAATGTTGGTATTATAATATTATAACCATTATGCATTATATCCATTATATTTTAACGCTGTATATAAAAATAATATATATGTAATAT